GCTTCTCTGGGCACCCTGTGCCAGCGCCTCAGCACCCTCACAGGGAAGAGCTTCTGCCTCAGAGCTCAGCTCAGTCTCCCCTCGGGCAGGTTCAAGCCATTCCCTTTGTCCTACCGCTACAGGCCCTTGTCCAAAGCCCCTCTCTGGGTTTCCTGGATCCCCTTTAGGCACTACAAGACCATTATAAGGGTTTCTGGTTTGAACACTTGAAATGCAATAGCAGCGGTTTCAAAGCTGCACAGAACTTCGCGTTTTCCTAGCTAGATACGTAAATAAAATCACAGATCCACCTCCACGGGGCCCTGCCCAGAGCACAGACGCCTGCCTCCTACCTATGACGTTTTCCCAAGCAGAGCAGTCTGTTCTCTCCTCTCACCATTCCTCGCCTCCTGAACACGCAACAATACCTTACGCAGCAGAATAATTCATGAGCCTGTGTAAAAGCAAAGCCGTGCAGCTGCTCGGAGCCTGCACAGCTCCGAAACGGGAGCGGTTTCAACACAAAACCCTGTCTCTGCACAGATTGCTTTGCCCACAATATAACACAGGCGCGCTCGGAGCTGCAGGAAGCAAAGCTTCAGCGCTGATAAAGGGACCTGTCACAAGTGTTGATGTTAAAGCCTTGCTTTGGGGAAGTTCAAGCGCACATGCCTGCGTGTGGATTTTAGTTTTCATTAATTAGCTCTGCCCCACACAGCACCCAAACGCAGCTCGGCCCGGGGACGGCATTCTAACAAGAGCTGGTTTGTTTCCCCTTTGTCTCTTCCATGTTATGACATCCCCAGGGTTGTAGCTGGCACTCGTGTTTAGAGAGCGGGGGAATTCCACGCATGGTGAGAGAACAGATATTCTACCAGTACCTTACAAATATTGGCCATTGGATGGTTTTTTCCCCTGTGCGCTTTCCAACACATCATAAATCTCGAGGAGGTTTCTGTGTTTGAACCCTGCTCACCATGGAGCCGGAGCCTCTTGGCATGAGCGCAAAGAGGGGGTTTTATAAATACAACTTAGGGACATCACTGGGCACTCCATTAATTCAGGAACACTCTGCCTCAGCTTCAAAGGGGATCTTTACAGTAAAGATGGTGGTTTTGCTGCTTTAATGATTTGCTACTTGTACTTGTCATAACTACACGGAGCAAGCATGCCACGCCAGGGAGCAGCGGTTTAGGGAAACGCGCGGTTCCGTCTCCCATCCAGCTCCGCTTCACTTCAATTCAATAGATTTGAGGCTTTATGTAGAAAAGCTACTCCATAAATCTAACACTTGAGGCCTTTGTCTAATGCCAGTTAATGAAAGCAAGCTCCATGCACACCTCGGATGTGCACACACATACCTTGGGCACTGCTACAACATCCAACCCCGAGAACAACCGCTGACCCAGAAAGTCTGCACATCCGAGCCAAAGCGAGTGGGGCTGGGAGAGGTAAAATGATACACACTTCATCTGAATACTACACACTGTAAGTGAGCTACTAAGACTTTCCACTCTGTTACTCACCTAATCCTCTTACAGACATGAAGGCTCCCAATTTTTAAGTCATGCTTAATCCTGGCTTACTCCTGACCCCATCTCCCTCCCTACACATCTATATTGCTCCCAGCTTCAGGGAGGTGACATTCCCATCCACAGAGATGGGAGAAGCAGTAGATCTGGACCCAATTCCTGCATGGATCTGGCAGACGTCCTGGTACTTGAAGCACATTTATTGAGTCACTTTTCCTACATTTCATGAATTGGAAGAACCATCCTCACACCCTCGCACGTTTAGATGACTTATGAATATTTTAAGGGGCACAACTAGGCAGCAAATACACACAGCACTTCAGAGAAAACCATTTGGGATCAATTTCTGATGGAAAACCAAAAGTTATCGTAAGCCCTATGAAAATAAATCTGGGTTTATTCATCTAGTTCAGGCTGTTTTCTTCAAAATGAGATAAAGAAAGTCATTGCCTCCAACTGCACCCACAGTGAGTGTTTAAGCATGAGTACCTGTAAGTTAAGAGTAACCCTGAACAACTTGGTCTAGTAGAAGGAGTCTACTAGTGGGTGGAACTACATAATCTTAAGGTCCTTTCCAACCCAACCCATTCTCTGTGCAGTGCTCTGCTAAGGGGACACCCACCAGAAGGAAGGCCCAGGTACCCCACAGGAGGACTGGGGAGGGCCAACTCTTTGTCAGCCCCAGGCTAGATCCCTCGGTGGGAGGGCAGAGCCACATTGTCTCCATCTCCAAAGGTCTGCGTCTCCAAGCAGAACATTACTTGTGCTTTGAGTACCTCAAAACACTGTCCAGACATCAATGGTTTCATTTGAGGACATTCAAATGGCCTCTCCCAGTGACCATGTCTTGTTATGCTTGCCCATCTTTACATGTCTTTTGGGTTTGGGAATGGAGAAGCTGAAACACAATAATTCAGCCCGAAGACCCATTCCAGCAGAGCCAAACTTCCAGCCCTAACGCACAGCTCTCATTTAGCCACACACACACCCTTTCCTTCTCTAATCCTCACTTCTGCATTGCTCCCTGTCCCTCCATTCTCTTCCCAAATACCCCTCTCTTTCCTCCCTTCTCTCCTCCTCTTGGATTCCCTTGCAGTACCCCAGAACGGCCTCACGCTGCTCCCTCAGACCATTCGTTTCTTCGGAATCAAAGCTGTTGCAGAGCATTTCCTCTGCACTGAATTATGAGAAGAGATGGAAACAGCAACAAGGAACCTGGGGGAGGGCTCCAAGTGACCCAGGTCCTCTCCGGGTTCTCTTTGCCAACTCTGCTTAGCTCACTCTCCACAAAGGGGAGGTTGCTGCAAGACAGCAAGGGCAGGCACGCAGGGAATATATTAAGTGTATAAAATGCTTTACATAGGCAGTCAGCCCTCCTCCGAAAGGAGGCATGAGTCACCCTGGGACTCCGTTCAAAGAGCACCTAAGGAACAAGGCAAAACTAACTTGCACTTACACGCTACAGTCAACAGCATCACTTGGTGCATACGAATCGGGCACAGCAAAGCTTCCTCTGTTCAGATACATCTCTCAAACCACTCTTGTTTGCCTATGCTCCCATTTCATATCGATCTCTGCTTGCTGGGAAGTAGCAAGGCCAATTCTATTCATTTCAGCCAACCCTGGAAACCAGAAGGTTGGAATGGATGGGTTTTGGTCTTCAGGGGGATTTCAGCACAGCGCTGAGTTCAAGGCGCTCAGATGTGGTCACAACTTGTGCTTACCCCCTTTAGAAAAGCTCTTTGTATCACAAACCTGCTTAGAAGAAACCTTTTCCTTTGTCACATCAGCCTGTTATTTCAACAGTCAATTGATACCTGGACTTTACAGCTCTCTTATCAAGATAAGGCACATGAGATTTATTCCCTTCAAATCAAACCCCACATTGTAGTTCTGTGGCTCTTTTTCCATTCAGATGCACCAACTTCTCATCACCACCTCTCCTTTCTCCAGCAAGGGATCAGAAACTGGAGTTGAGGCTCTCAAAGTGGTGCCCAAGCCCATGTTTTCACTCCCTGATTGCCCTGTTTCTTTGGCATATTTTCTTCCCAATAGCATTAGTTGCCATGAGGACCTGGGGACACATGTAGAGACACCTCCGCCCCTGAAGACCCAAATACCTACACAGTAATGCCTAGCAGGGATTTAAGCAAGCTGGGCACTTCATTTGCAAATCCATACACAGTTCTACAAACCAATCTTCCTAATATTACTAAGGCTTCCAAGTCTATCAGAGAAGAAAGACTCTTTCAAAAGAACAAAAGCATCCCTCCTCCACCCTAGAAATTACATGAACTTTCAAAATTTAAAGCAAAAAATCTCATTTTGAGCCCTTTCATGTGTTCCAATCCTCTCCCTTTTCTCATTCTGAACACAGCTGTCTGTTGTACTTTCTCAAATGATGCCAGATGCTGGGTTCATCAACCAAAGGCATGAAAACAAAGGTTTGAAAGCAATTAGAAGCACCAAGGCTGCACCGAGGCTCCTATTAAAATGTGATAACACTGTTCTAGTGAGAATTGCAATGCTGCTGCATTTCTGACATTTCTGTGCTGCCAGCCAACCAGGATGTGCTGGAAGTGGTCCCTGATTGAGGAGGTAACCTACTGGAATTCATTCCTGGAGTAAATGAAGGATTAGCCGAGTTGGAACACTCCCAAGGGGGTTTATTACAGCCCCAGCTCCCATCCTGTTGGAACGTTGGCATCCTTCTGCCCGTGCTCACGTACCACAACCATTGTGTAAGGAGAAAGGATGAAGCCACTGAACCACATCCTTGGCTGCAGCCTGGTTGTACCCAGCACTCTAAATGACCGATCAGAGCTGAGCAACACCAATTCAATAGAGTCAAAGGAGCTCCAGGTAAACTCTGAGCAAACACATAGCCATCAACTGGCCCTAACACACAGGAGAACCCAGTGATGCAGCTTGCGACCTGCAGGCACCCTGGGAAGTTTAACTCATCACCCCCATTACTGCAGGAATGAAGATCAAAGTCACAATGGGAATATCCCAGCTTGTGAGCAGCCATACCAAGAGATGGTCGCAGTCCTGACCCATTCACCTGCACCTGGAGGTGGATTCAGTTTCAAGTTCCCATTAACATGAAGCAATGAGACTGAAGGAAGCTTCCTGCAGGTCACCCAATAGTTTTTGCTCCCAGGTCAATGGGCCATGGGAATCTCCTGCCCTTTGGGAACCTCAGGCCTTTGTCCCAGCCACTGTGTTTGTGTCAGCACCATTCAGGTTTGTACTGTTGGCTCTCAAAGGTAAGGGGAAATGAACTTGTGCTGCTCAGAAAGAATGCTAACCCCAACTCCTGCTCCAGCATCACCCCAGCTTGCCCATTTCCAACCTTAAGAACTGCCACACACAGCTCTATGTTCAGTTTAAGCTCTCTTCCTTAGTGACTTTGCATAGGAAACACACACACGTCCAGCCCTTCCCTACTTCCCAAGCTCATCCCTTTTTCCCCTGGCTCGTACTCACCTCGAGGCAGAAAGTCCAAGTGGTACCTATAAGATAAAAGAGAGGAAAAAAGACAGACATAAGCATACATGAGGCTCTCCAGGATTTGTTCCAGCCTGATGAATAGTGACAGATGGAGAATTCTGCCTGAAATGCTGCCAGGACCCTGGCAAATGGTCACCATGCACTATGTGCAAGAAGCTTCAAGAGGAACTGTGAGTCCTGAAGATGTTGGCTGGGCCCTGGGACACCCTTTACTCCCCAAGGAACCTCCCTCCTCTTAAGTTCTAAATGCTCCCAACTCCCTTCCATTAGAATGGGCCTCCTTCTCCAAATGCAAAGCTTTACATGACCTTTTGCTTTGCAGCCTTAAAGAGCTTTAAAGGTCCCTTCCAACCCAAACAACTCCATGATTCCACTCTACGACTCTTTCCTCAAGCTCATCTCACACCTTCCCACCCAGCAGCAGCAGGGCTGAGGGCAGTACACACGCTGCCCGTGCCGAAAAGGAAAGCCCTCCATAAGTTCTTCATCTCTCACACTTGGAGCTCCTCTTGGGTTGACATCCGAGTCATTCAAGAACAGCACTGGTGAGGTTTGGAAAGAGATCAAGGGCTGGGGATAAACCACAGAGTGACCCGCTCACAAGCAAGACGTGTAACAAAGGGCTGGGCTATGGGCATTAGTGGCAAGAATCCAGTATGCAAAAAATCCAATCAATTCATTTCCTCATTAAAAGCCTTCATGAAGAAAATGATTTACCACAAACATCGCAGCTCCTGACACAGATGAATTAGCGAACACCAACAGAATCCTGATGAAGGGCAGAGTATTTGGCTTGGTTGCTTTGGACAAAAAGCAGAGTGCAAAGCCAGAAGAAACTTCCCTGGGAGAACAGGCTCAGGGTAAATACCAGCTCTGTTACACCGGGAAGTGCCTCTCCCTGGGCTTTCGGATGCTGCTGCATCAGGGGTTGCACTGACAGGACAAGGGCTGATGGGTTCAAACTGAAACAGGGGAAGTTCAGGTTGGAGATAAGGAAGAAGTTCCTTACTGTGAGGGCGGTGAGGCACTGGCACAGGTTATCCACAGAAAGGGCAAATGCTTCGTCCCTGGCAGTGTTCAAGGCCAGGGTGGACAGAGCCCTGGGTGCCATGATTTAGCGTGAGGCATCCCTGCCAACGGCACGGGGTGGGAACTGGATGAACTAAAGGTCCTTTCCAGCCCAAACCATTCTAGGATTCTACAGTGTTGGGCAGTGGCCCCCTGTTTCTACAAGCAGCTCTTTCCTATCCATCCTACAGCAGCTACACCTCCCTCAAGCTTAGAGAAGCGACATCACCTTCCCAAGGTCAGCATCTCCATCCTTTTGCCTCCGATCCCCATTTACAGCCACTCAGCGTTCACTTGGAGATCTCAACCGTTAGTCAATAGTATTCAAAACCTGGGGCAAGACAGCTCTCCCCCTGATTCAGGCTCCACAAGAGGCACCCACAGTCCCCTGACCCCCCAGGTCCAGCATTCCCATGAGTTCAAATACTTTTGTCTCCTCACCAGACAATGGCTGTGAGACAAGGACAGCAAAATCACTTCTTGCTTTGTGAACTTTTGTCTCTTGTGCTTGAGAGACCGTCCTAATCTCCCCTGAACATGCTTTAGTGATAACATTTACTGCACTGGGGCCAAAATGATTTTCTGTCACTTGTAATTCCAGCTCAATAAAAGTATAAGAGCTTTGTTTCTAACCTCTGTCATTTTTAATACAGTAAAATGGTTTAAAAAAAAACATGTAAAATTGAGTTCCAGTTCCTACTGGACCAGCAAAGCCACGTTAGCTTCACCCTGATCACATTTAAAGGGGGGGAGGAAATACCAAAAAGAGGCTTTGCTTTTTCTCTAGCATAAGGAAACGGACAAAACTCCTGATCTCATCAGATCAGGATGTGTCTTTAATCTCCTGCTTTGATCATTTGCACTCTGGAAAGCCTTAAGCGGAGAATGAAAGCTTAAAACATAACGGGGAGTACGGGGGAAGAATGTCTTGTTCTGCTGGAAGAAGAGGAATGATCCAATTCCTTCATCTGCACTAGCTGCATGGAGACCTTGGACAAATGACTTCTGTGGAGGGCTGGAAAGGCCCCCGCATGCACTGCCCACAGCGGCTGCAGGATGCTCACGCACATCAGCGCTTTCCCCCCGATGTTTTGTACGTGTCGAAGAGGGGAGGGGGACTTTCAGCATCGATGTTTCCCCCACCCCTTCCTGCAGATCACGAACAGCAAGCTATGGCCAGCAGATTTCATGGGTTTGTGCCTGCATTACCCAGGAAATGCAATTATTTAGGCAAAACACCCGTTTTGCTGCAGCAACCCAGGCAGCAAACAGGGCGAGCTCAAGTATACCCATAGCCCTAAGTCATGTGCACGCTCATAGATCCAAGACTACAGCATGATTCAGTGCAGCAGAGGAGGAGCTCAGCAGAAACAGTTTGGGCATCTTGGGCCATCCTGCAAGGCACAGAACCTGAGGCCAACTCTGATTTCTGGTCCCAGTGAAGCCAATACAGAGTGACAACACGTTACACCCTTAACACGCCTGGTCCGGGGGGGAAAGGCAGTTCCACAGGGGTTCATTCTGTAGAGTCCAGTCAGTTCTCACTGCAAGTACTTAAAAGAAGTGCTAATTGCTCCATACACATTCCCCCTTGAGCCAGGCAGTAGAAGTCAGCAACCAGAGGCTTAATCCTCATCCAACAGCTTCTTTATGTCGGATGTTATTTGCCTGGGGATCGCTTTGACATTTTCATCTTTAATAAAGAACTCTTAGATCTCACAAGCACCAAGAATAAAACTTCTCATTCATTTTCTTAAGCAGCAAGTTGGGGAATAGGCCATACATTCGGTTATATCCTTTTAAGCACTTGATCAGAAAAGCTCCTATCCACCCTCCAACCAAAGAACCAGTAAAGGCAAAGCACAGCAAATAGTTTCCAGCCAGAGGAAGGTCCAGTTTATATCAGACCTTAAGGAAGTGGAAAACTTATTAAATGACCAATAGGCTTCAGCAAAATGAGCTCCCAAAGGAATCGACTGGGATTTTTGATGCAGAGTGAGGAACTAACCCCAAAATACCCCATTTCCATTCCAAAGCCAAAGAGCGACTGTTGCACTGCCAGTAGCGAACCAGAGACAGCCTCCACGTATTCCCCCCCATGGTTCACAACAAACCACCCACCTCTCATCCCATCGGGCCATGTTCCAGGCCGTCAGAAGCCCCAGATTTGCTCTGTTCCCCATGACTGTGTAGCCTTTGAGGTTAGGTACTCGCCATACAACACACAAGCAGACATCAGAGGGGCTCGCCCCTCTGGAAATGGTTATGTTCTTTGCTCCCGACACACACAGAGATCCCAGTTCTGATTCATCAACCTCCTCGTAGCAACGTCTCCAGCTGGACCTGGTCCAAGCCACAAGTCAAGCCTGTAAGCAGAGCTCAAAGGGGGAATTGCCATGAGAAAGAGTAGAAGAAAACGGCGTTGTTGCATTGGAAAGGGAAACCGAGTCCCGGAGCAGGCAGGCTTGCCACAAAGCTTTGTTCACCACTGGAACCCATTGTCTTTAAGTCCTAAGCCAGAGCTAACGCTGGCCTGTAAGGACCAGAGCCTTCTGCTGCTTGCACAGAGCAAGACTTGGTCTTCAGAAGATGCTTCCAGGATACGCCAGATCCTTGATCACAGATCTTATCCTTGCACTGATTTATAACAGAAACAAGATGGGAAGCAACCCCAAGAGCATCAGCTCGGTACCTGTGGAGCTTGACAATAAACCCTCCACATCCTACCCTTCCAAGCTGTCCTGTGTGATGGACCCACCTTCCAGAGAGTAGAGTTTGCTTTGCACAGCTCTTTTCCTCAAAAGCTGTCACCTGAGAATAGTGATGCTTCCAGGTCTGACCTAGCAGCACCAGCAAAGAAGTTACTTCAACACTGCCATCACCTCAGCACCAGTGTTTAAAGCAGGGAGACCCAGAAATATCCCTTCGTGTTCAAAAAGGAAAGGCAGATTAAGCCCTGGAACATCTAAGGATAGAATTCCCACCATGGAAGTATTACTCCTGCCACGCTGGGTCTGGATTTGCCCTTTGGGATGAGCACAGGATTGGTGCTCTCTTGAAGCACCAAGAGAACTTGGGTTTATCCCTACGTTTCCAACCTCCACACAAAACCCAAGCAGCACATCTACCCCAGGCCTCTCATCTCCTGTTGCATGAGGGTTTGGGGGGGTCACAAACCCCATCAATGCACAGAAATCCAGTAACATCCATTATCAACATCCCCTTCCTCCCGTCCACAGCTCAAGTCTGCTGACCAGCATCCAGCGCCTGCAGCAAACCCCAGAGCTGAGGGACTCAAACCAGACCCATTTGGGACCAGAAGCACAAATTGCTGTCTGAAATCTTATGCTCCGTATGATGCACAAGGTCAAACTTGATGGTTATAATGGCCTCTTTGCAGCTCTAAAGCCTATAAAGAGTCCAAACCCCACTTCCCTCTCAGACTCCATTTCAGCAGGAACCATAAAGTCAGGTTTCAATCAAATTTCCTGTGTTTTCCTGTCCAGCGAAGAACACGACCATCGCCACAGACGTTATTGCATTAGGTAGCTCAAGACGGTCTCATTTGCACAAGGATTTGTTGGGGTTTAATGTTTGCACAAAGAAGAGCTTGAAAAATCAATGCTGTACAGGATTTCAGACAGGGCAAAAGAAAAAAGCAGCTGAAAATGGGATTGGGGAGCTCACCATTAGCAAAGTGGGTTACAAACCGCTTCAGATGGGTTCTGTTAAATGGTACAGCAGCGGTAGCTATGCAAAGACTCTGGTTACACAGCTTCAATCATTTACAGTCCTCAGGTTTCAGATTAGCAATGCATTCACAAGGAAATGGATGGGGAAACAGGGGTAATTTTATCAGCTGGGATGGAAAATGATGCATATTACTGAAAGGAGCCTAACCCAGAAGGCACCAAACTGCATTACTGGCAGAGTG